ACTAACCCAAAGGTAGGCACGGCTTCTGCGGCTGTGAGCACCTCCTGGGCTCCCCTGAGCTTGTCCAAGTGTATGTTCACACAGAAGCCTGAAGCTCAGTACTCAGCTAAAGAGACCAAGATGTTCCTATGAGCTGGCACACACCCACAATCCCAGCTGCAAACTTTGGAGGCTGAGGCAGGAAGATTGCAAATTAGAGGCAATTCAGCAGTGGTTCTCTAAGTGTGTTCCCTACACTGCACCAATCAGGGACTCGGTGGCCACGGCTAACTAATCTTTCACGCGGACATGAGGTGATTCTAATGTACCTGCACAATTCCACCTTCAGGAGAAAGGGGGTACTCTCCAGGAGAGGCTGCACATATGCATAGTCCTAGCAATGTTCAAGGAGACTGAGGCAGGAGAATGGCAAGTCTGAACCCAGCCTAGCAACTGAGTAAGACCCTGTGACAGGGAGAGGGCTGGGACCCTACCTTAGTGTGAAGCCTCTGGACTTGATCCCCAGGGTCTCGAGGGCTGGGAACTACAGTGGATGCCAGGTTACATGGTGGTGCACATTCTGGGCTCAGCCATGCTATGTCCCCTGACCATACCCAAAGGAAGGAGGCAGAAAGAAGCATCTTGAGCACTGATCTTTCTGGACACCCACATGGTACCAGTTCTTTAAAGAGGGATGCAAAGCTGCCACAGGCAGCTGTGGAGGGGTGAGCCTTACCCAGGAGCACCCAGTGGTTAGGGACGCCACCTCTGCGGTAAGCTGGGCACTGTGTGGTTTCGCCCTTTGTGAGAAAGGAGACTAGACTGTCTGCCTGGGCACATTACACAAGTGACAAACCCTGGGTATGCAGGGCCACTTCTACCCAGGAGCCAGGGAGGTAGAGAGTCCACAGCAGGCAGGCATCTTGCCTCCTGGTGAGTCTGCCACGTGCCCGCCCTCTGGGGTCCAGGTGAAGGTGCTGATGGACTAGGGCTTCTTACCAATGCGTTACACTCTGAGTGCGACACACTCAGCCATGACTGGGACAGCAGCGCAGGAGCGTGACAGCTCCCCGGCCATCCACGGCATCACTTTGTTCCCTCACGCGTTCCAAAATGCTGCACACCACAGAGAACCAGCCCACGGGCTCCCCGAAACCTGCCAAACTCACACCGAAACTCACCCCACCCACTGCGCCCTGGGCCAGAGGGCAGGATGAGACTTCAGGGAGACACGCGCTGCCCGGACAAGTACCTGCTCCTTGTTTTTCCAAGCTGTGATGTGAGGCTTAACAAACAAGCACTCGCACCTCCCGCTGCGGGAGGGCGGGGAGTGGGGACCAGGTGTGCAGCCTGGCCACGCCACGAGGGCTGCAGCCAGGAACAAGGTGAAAGCATTGTCTGCATGTCTAGGGTCCAGACAAGCCGGTGTCCTGAGTGGGAAGGCTGTCCAGGGCCTCTCCTACCAACCGTCACACACATTTTCTATGTTTTTCCTGCTTTCTGCTTCTTCAGTTAGAAGTGCCTAAGTAACAGCAACCAGTATTTGTCAAGTCTTTGACAACAATGTTTCCTTAAAAGAAAAATTTTAAGTAATAAATTACGAGACACCTTTTTTATGCCCCCACCCCACCGCCAACAGCATGGAGGGCAGTCTGGAGTGCAACAGGTTTCCAAGTGTTTATTACCTGTCTCTTCTCCAAGGACAGGCATTAAAGGTAGCTAGGATAAAACAGACAAACAAACAAGCAAACAAACCCTTTCCGACTAATCAGCTTCTTCTAGAGCTAAGTGCCGGTTTTAAAAGCTCTCAGAGAACTAGATACCCAGCTGATGATCCAGTTGTACTGAAAATGTATCAACTTCTGTGGTCAGCCACTCCTCCTCCAAGTTTCTTACAAAAACGCAAGGACCATGTGCAAGTCCTCAACTTGAACAACAGGACAGGAGCTGGGTGGATGACGGCGTGGGGACCGGCTGGGCACACGCGGCACAGTGAAGCTCAGGGAAGGGGCAGCTCAAGGCCACTCAGCTCCAGGCCACCCTCTGTTCACCTGGACCCAAACCACCTTGATGAAGTGGAACAGAACCGCCATCAACACAGCTCCAAACGTAACTGGAGGCACAGAGAACATGGGCTAGGGATGGAAAGCAAAGCAAGAGAAGGGAGTGATTCATTGGAACCCCAGACGCTGGCCACAGAGAGGTGAATTTAAATTCCACTGTCATTCACTGCTTAGTCTGGGGAAAATTATGAAACTTACATAAATCTTAATTTTCTCCTTTGCCAGTTGAAAATGGCACCACTACCTACTCCATGAGAATGTTCTAGAAAGTTGAAACTAGGTGAATATGCTCGGTGTGGGGCACCCTCAGTAAGTGGGAGTCACGTTCCCGTAGTTATGGCCTCAGGCAGTCAGCTCCCAATTTGTTTAGATGTTAACACTGTCAAAGAAATCTGGAGAACCCACCTTCTAGCCCTGACAGAAGTCCATACCCGGCACAGGCACTCAACAGTGTGAAGCCACCCAGCCCTGACCCACCTGTAGGCGTAGAGCCGCCTCTCCAGCCCTCCACACAGCCCGCAGACAAAAGTGACTGGCTGGGGCTCTTCTGTTGGCTTCCCTTGCCCATCACATGCCTGCTTTCAGGACAAAATGTCCCGCAGGGGCAGGAGCATGCTGCACTGTTTCCAATGGGCTTTCCTCCACGGATTACCCACGATGGAAACCTGTGTGCCCTCGCTGTGGATGCCACAGGTAGACGGATAGCAGCAGTGAGACCTGTGACGGCGGCCACTGGAAGCTGTGGTTCCTGCACTCCTTAGTCCTTGTTCAGAATTCTGAGAGGGGTTACTGCTCCACTTCACAGAGAAAGGACGCAAGGCTCAGAGAAGCTAAGTGGTTGCTCTGAATCCACATGGCAAGGTGGGATTCAAACTCACATCCGTGTCTGTCTGTGTCAACTCAAGCCTTTGCAGCCCAGAGTACTATTTCAAAGGACCCACACACTTGGGGTTCTGTTGTTGTTTTTTAATTCATTGTGTAGGCAACATCTTATGTGTTTTGAAACATTCATTTGATCCCTTTAAAAAGCCTTAGTATATATAGTACGATTTTGTGCTGATAATTGTTGAGGGGGGTGACAGGTGTAAGAAGGTACATGAAATGATTCTACATTTGTATGCTTTGATTTTTCTATAATAAAAACATGCTTTGTTTTGCTTTTTGGAAACTGGATGACAAGAGCCCCAGACAGTTGGGGAAGATGAGATTTCAGCTCTCGAAGGCATTAGCAAAAGGCTTACTCTCATCACCTTCTCCTCAGCAGCTCTCTGCCACACACGCGGTGGACACGCCCGCAACGCTGTCCCTAACCCTGGGCAGGACCAGCATCACAGCAGTCTGACACGGAGAGAGCTTTCCCAGCCTCCGCCCACCCATTAGCGTCTACTTGGGTGTGGTGGATCTCAGTCCAGTTTTTAAATAAAATGGGTGGTAAGATATATTAGTCTAAACATTCAAGAAACAAAGCAACATCCAAGCTGTGCATGGTGGCACATGCCAGTAATCCCAGCACTGGAGAGGCTGAGGCAGGAGGATCGGGCACGTCCAAGACCAGCCTAGGCTCCAAGATGAGCTCCAGGCAGCCTGAACTGCATAGCAAGACCCTGTCTCAAAAAGACAAAACAAAGGAACAAACAAAACAAAATCACACATGAATGAAAAGAAACATCCGGGCAATTATTCTGCAGTTTTTTCTCAGTCCCTCTTTCTCCCATCAAGGACTTCATTTCACCTCCTCCAATCTTTTGTCAGTGTTTTATCCTCTCTGGTGGTTTCTTTACTAAAAGCAGGAAATACATGGCTTGGGAAAAAAGCAAGAGAGAACAGATCCTCCTGATCTGCTCTCCTGCTTTTCCTGTTCCTCCTCACGACACCAACAGGCAGGCTGGACACTGTTCCCCTCCCTCCCAAAAGGAGAGTACAGGCCAGGGTAAGGAACTCTGGCTAGAAAAACTCAGGAACCCTGAACCTGGCCTTACAAGGCAAAGGTGTGTTTTCTCGTAGTTTCCCTTCTTGAAAAGGCCTGGGACATTCCCAGATTGGGCCTGTTTTGTTGGTGTTAATTCCATTGTGAAGCCTACATTTGGTTCCACCTTCCTGAAATTAAAAAGTAGTGCCCAACATAAAGATTAAGATGGAACAAATAAGATTTCCCAAATGAAAAACACACCAGTGAAAAGGAAATAAAATAGGCTATAGGATTAGGTATTATGTTATTTCCTAGAAGAATTCAAGCGCCTACACCATTTCTGTATATCTTTTTCTCCTTCACGACACCCATGAAAAACAGTGCTAAACAGTGGATTATTAGTACAATTGTTCTTTGGTGTCAAGACAACTCTACTTAAACAGGATCAGTTTGCTTATCTATAATCAGCTTATGAGCCGAAATCTTGAAAAGGAAATAAGAAAATAGTTACCCAGGGATTAGACAGCAAGGCATGAACTGACGGGCCCAAACCACTCGCTGCTAGGTGTTTTGCTCGATAAAGAAGCTTCTAAAATACATGAATATATGCACACACCCCACCTAAAATGGTGAGCAAATCCAGAGTAAATGTACAGAAGTAATGGAGGGTGTTTGCACAGTAGGTTGAAAACAGGTCCACAGGGGTCTGGTGGGCCAGGCTGCGGATCCCAGTGCTGGGGCCCAGGACCTGCTCAGAACGGAGGGGCTGACACTTCCCAGGGGCAACGCGCACATGAACACCAAGGTGTCTGCCACCATCTGAACACACAAAGTAATAATAAGATGAAAAAGCCACTGCCCGATGTCCACGCTAAGTTTATTTCATGGAGAAAACCCTTTCCCGTAAAAAAAAAAAAAAAAAAAAAAACAAAAAACCAGAAACTACAGAGTGCCTGGCATTCCCCATCTCTCATTCATCACAGCATTCAGGAATGAATAGAAACACGTGGAAACTCTCCCTCCCAACCCTTAAATTAGCAGGCTTAAAATTAACTCTTGAAGCATTTCTTTGTTATATTTTGATTCAACCTCTATTTACAAATTAAATTGCACTTACAAAGATAGCAACATTTCTATTATGGTGGTATACGTTATTTTACTGTATTATGGTCTTATATCTGCATATAAAACTTTTAAAGCTGTCTTCAGTAAGAATCACTTTATTTGCAATACATAATTTACCCACTGAATTTCTGAACCGGACTTCTCTTGTGCTTTTCTGCTCTATCGTATTGTACAAATGGCACATGCCTTTGGAGAGGACACAGTCTGATACTGCACTCACTAAAAAAACACTTATTCATCAAAAGGTAAAGAGTAAGAAATTATTTGTGGCCTAGTCCTTTGGTTCATCATTCAAAAAACATCAACCAATATAACTCACACATTATTGGTAACTCATCTTTTTGGTTAAAAATAAGTCTACCAAGCAGACTGCTGATTAGAATCCAGCACTGCTGAAAAAGGCCCACATTCCCAGTCTCAGTGACGCCACCATTCACGACCAGTTCAGGTGACAGGGGACACAGTAAGGCACAAGTGGGTAGTACAAGTAGAAACAAATACTTGAAGACTGGTTTGTTTTCTTGCACAAATCCTAAAATATGTACCGTCTGCAAGATAACGAAAGAGAAATACATATTTTCATTATGAAATACCTATACAAAATCTTAAAATTTACACCATCTGAGCTGCCGAACAAGGTTAAAAAAGTATCAGTTTTTCCCTGTACACAAAACCACCTCCCATCAGTAGGTTCAAGAGAACTTGGGTTCAAAATGTCCCAGCACTGCACGGAAGGAAGGGGATATAATTCCCTATCCTGCTCACTCTCACCCCAACATAAGACAGAAACGAAGGCCAGATGTTTACAGTAGTGTATTCTGCCTATTACAAACAACCGAAGTCAAAAGAAAAACAACCAGGCCAGGAGACCACTGAATGGCGACTGGACGGGGGCAGTAAGGCACTTCCTGGGCAGGAGGGCAGCGCCCACCAGGAATGGCAGGCGACACAGGCGCTGGTGAGGACAGACAGGACGTCTGGACAGCAGGGGAAGACACAGGAGGCCAGTCCCGCGGCGAGGGCTACACGGAAGTGGTCACTCGGTCAAGGGCGTGATTGACCTCGTTCTTGTTGGAATCCAGCCCCTTAGCAGCGTTCATATCATTCCGTAAATTCTCCACCGTCTTCTTCATGCTCTTCAGCTCCCCGGGGTGCGGCGTAGCTCGCCTTAGAAGTGTTCTCTAAAAACAGAGAGCACAGTGAGTGTTCTGCTTTTACTCCATTTGTTTTTCAAAATACGCAGCTTCAAGGAGCGAGCATTCCACACAACTCTCTACAGGCCTAGCAGCTGCGAGGCAACGTGGGTGGAAGAGCTTGCTTCAAACCGTGGGCCTTTCCCACTCATCGTGGTAGCCAGTGGCAGGGGAAGCGCCTTGTGCAACTTATCCACTCACAGTAGAAGCAAAAGAACACCTTCAAACTAGGAGACTAGTGTACAATGGAAATGTTTCTACAAAGGAAGTATCTAAAATTAAGATGTGATCGTTGGACGCAGAAGTAGGAATGAGTGAATAAAGCCCTAAATAAAGTCACAGTGATGTTCTGCATCCAAAGTGGTCCTGTGAGCTTTGATCCTCGAGGCATGGGAAGTGAAAAGAAAGGGAAGACTGAGGGGTTCATTTCTTACTGTGCTACTTTCCAGCCCCCCACCCGCCCCCGCTGAAGATAGCCCCGTTCATACTCTTAATGAACCACAGTGCTGGAGGCTAAGTGACAGGGTGGGGGACATTTAACATTCGTGTCGTTTACAATGCCACTTGTTGTTTAGCAGGTCACAGCAGCAAGTGTGGACCTCTGAATAACTCACGCTGGGCTCAGGGGGAAGGACACTGGCGGACCCAACCCTGGCTGAGTACTACCTAGGCTGAGGAGACGGCAGATAATCACCCTCAGCCTAGGATCACAGTGAGCCCTGAGGTGGCTCTGAGGTGGAGGCCATCCTGGCATCCCTAGCTCCCCTCTGTATACTCCATTACTGAAAAATGCTCTGCATCCCATCTGGTGACAGCTGAAATAACAGAGACTTTCTGCAGTGGCTGAAAATCTGTCCCTGTCTGGGTGTGGCTGGTCCTCCCTCTAGGCACCGAGTAAGGAAATCCCACTTGGCACAAGGAATTTCCAAAGCCAAGCCAATTGGTGGGAAGATGTCAAGAGCTGTCACTGACTCCTGGAGGGAGACTTTTAAACACGACTAACAGAAGGATGAGGGGTTACAGATTTTCCAGCAACTCCCAATTTCTGGATGAAAACTCGCTAAGGTTTCCAAGGAGCACACAGGCCTGCAGTGCGAAGGTGAAAGCAGCCTGGTTCCGTGGAAAGAGAGAAGTCCGGCGTCGGGGTGCAGCATGACGTGGGAATGCAGCCAGAAGACAGGAAGGGGCTTCACTTACAGAAAAAGGCAAAGCCCCGATTTTAAGGAAACGGGGGCAGGTGTGGAAACTTCCTCGGGGGAGAAAACGCTCTACGAACTATTCAAATTGCAATAACAGAAGTTCCATCTGCCTTGTTTACATTTTGTGACACACAAGTACGTAGTTTTGTTTCCTTAAAAAACTTCTCATGTGAAAGGCAAAGCAGAGGACGTACTCTGAGACAACCCCAAGTCCTTGCTGAGTGTCACGCCAAATTGCGGAAAGGTTCTACGTGAACTCCCACAGAGGAAAAGTCTCCACCTCCTTACCGTTTCGTTTTCGTCTTCCTCTTTTTCATCATCCAAAAACCGGATGGCACTAACTCGGTGCACTGCACGCATACTCCAGGCGTCATCGGAGACGTCGTGCACCAGGCTCTCCAGGGCACCACAACGAGGCAGGTTCTCTGCAGGGACACAGGTCACATGAGCAGGGGCCACCACGCGGAGGCTGTGATTTGAGGGCCCACTACGCAGGCCCCCGCAGGGACAGCCAGAGGGGCAACACCAGAAGTGCAGGGGCGGGGGGGCAGATACTGTGCTATGTGACCTCTGAGCCCTCGGTTCCACCTACTGCAAATATCAAAAACAGCCAGGGGCTCGGCAGGGCGCCCTTTGCTTTTAATGGCATATATTTCCACTTGAGATCATATAAAACACCTGCTCTATCAATGCATTTCCCTAAGAAATGTTATACAATGTCAGTGATTGGAAGAGTCCTTTCCAGAATTCTCTGTCACATAGTAACTTCAACATTTTTCCTGCAGTGATGTGGCCACACAGGTTGGACGCTGGAACTTTCCCTGCTGACATTTTACCACTTTTTTCTCTTTTGGCCTTAAAAAGCTCACTCAGCAGCTGGGACTGGCAAGGTGGCTTCCAGCTCTGCTGCTTGGAAGCTCTCACTCCTCAAGGGCACTTCGGTTCCATCAGACTCAGCGTTCAGAGAAGGTTTCTAATAGCATCTTCATGTTAGCACGAATATTTTCTTAAAGCCACACAGAATACGTACACAGTGACTCAAAATAACTCACTGGTTTGAAGACAGTGTGCCAGAGATGTTTGCTGCTAATCATCTGAGCTGTCCGCTCAGATTTTAAGAGCCTGTTGCTCTTCTTAGGAGCTGTTAACTATCATTAAATCCAAAAGGCTGCTCCCCAAATTTTAAAGTGCTGTGGGAGGCCCTCTTTTTGTAAGGGTGTAGGAGAATTTCCCTGAAGGATCCCCGCAAACCCAATAAAACCTAACCAAGCAGGGCCCAACGAGTGGATGGTCCCAGCCATGGGGACACTGCCCCGAGACTCACCTTGACAGGTCGGTTCAGAAGGCAGCTGAGGCAGCAAGACACAGGTTAAGATCTTCTCTCCCGTGGCGTGGTCTGTGTCCGTCTGAAAGGTGAGCAGAGGCTGGGACTGGTTGTCAGATAACCACAGAGCCTTCAGCTTCAAGGTGGTCAGGGACAGTGGCAGATGCAACAACCTGCCGTGGAACCAAGAGAGACATCACAACCTCAGAGCCCCTGGCAAACTACTTCTTGTTATAAAAAGTGGGAAGGGATTCACAAGGAGCTCCTGAGACCGAGTTCAAAGTGCAGAAAAACTGCCCTATTTATAACACAATGAGAAACTCAGTCTTTCCCAGTCAAGGCTTCAGCAGGCCTCAGAGCTTCACCATCACCACCATGCTTACTGGGGTTGGAGGCCAGGGGACAGAAAACTGAGAATGTCAGGGTGCAGGACAAGGCCTGCGCTGAGTGAGAAGCAGCAGCACTGGTAGGGCCAGACGCAGGAGTTCTCACTCCACAAGTCCTGGGCAGGGTGGCAGCAGCTTCGGGCACCTGGCAGATTAGTATGGGCGGCAGGACCTTCACTTGAGGATGGAGGGCTCAAGTGGTTGAATAACAGACAAAGACCCAATTCACTGACAGCACTGCCTTCCTCTGGGGAGATTATTCAATTATTTCCATTTTAAACTTTTATCTACCTGTTTCTGGATGCTCCCCCCTCTCAGACAGATGATAATTAATACCTACATTACAGTGTTTCAATTTCATAAGAGGTAATCCACAAGAAGCACTCAAAGTTATAATGCGGCACCTAAAGATTGGTTTAACACTTATGGGTCAAAGATATTTGTCAGCCTGGCTGCAACTTGTGAAATCTGCTAGGTAAAGACCCCCGGGGAAGCCATGCATAATTATTACTTGCAAAACGTTGCTGTAACGCAGAGCTTCTCAACCAGAGAAGATTTTACCCCTGTGGGACACTTGGAAACATCTGCAAACTGGCTGAGGAGGAGTCTACTGCCAGGTAAAGGCCAGGAACATTGCTCAGAGCCTACGAGGGACATGCAGGACAGCCCTCAGGAAAGCCCAGGTGCTCACATGCCACCAGGGAGAACACTGCTCTGCGGAAAAGCAACACTTTACCCTGAGAGCTGTATGTATACCAGAGGGTCACGGTTTTAGGAATTGAAGTTACTTTTCACCAAGTATTTTCACTCTAAGGATGCCTTGTCATTCAATGCAACATCAATTATAGAAGTGACTTTGTAGACAGACACATACCTATCTCCGTTAGTGCATGGGAAGGCTACGTTTATCTCACCAATGAGCAGTGTTGTTAGAATTTCAAGTTGATAGAACTTGTGGGAAACACATTCGATCTCTGCACAGAGATATGAAAAGAGGCTGCACTCCAGGGTCATAAAGCCCATCTGGTAAAACGCAAGCATACACTGGTTGTCACTACAATAAATGGAGCTGGAAAGTCAGAGTGCAGAGAGAGCATGATGGAACTAAGTGTGGCACAAGAGCGATGCTCGGGAACATCTGTGATGCGCCAGCTGCAGCGACGAGAAGCCGGTCCTCCCTGGGCACCGGCACAGCAGGGGCTGGCCATCCCTCCTCTGAGACAGGTGCTACACTGAGCTCCTGTCATACCTGCCTGCACGCCTCCATGGGGACGGGGTGCTGAGCACACAGGGCTTCACCAGCAAGGGCCAAGCCGGCACAGCCTGAAGGAGCTGCTCACAGGACGAGCCGTCCAAAGGACGAGAGGGGAAAGTGGATTTCCTCTGGGCGCCAGCTCTCCTTCCTCAGAGGTGTTTGCGCTCAAATGGAATAGAAATCGCTAGTGCGTACACAAAACCTAGTGCGTACACAAAAACACATATTCCCAAACATAAGGAAGCTAAAGGTACGTCTCTGCTAGTCATTGTGACAGGCATGATTTTTTAAAGGATACCCGTTAGACGCTGTAGAATCCTGGAGTACACCAAATCCTTTCATTTTATGGAATGAAAGGATAGTCAGCACGGTCAGCACTCTGCTTCCCACCATGACACCCTGAGAAAGGAACCAAGGCTTGGAACCGGCACAAAACGCCGCCTCCCACTGAACACTCAGCATAAGGAGAACACTGAGAAGACCACTGCCGGCAGCTGTCAAGGATGAGAGACCAGAGGAGGAGAGCTAAGACAGGGGACGGGGGCTGTACAAACAGCGCTTTGTCATGTTTCAGCTTAGACCCAGTGTCTACAGCACTGGTTTTCTAGCAAAGAAAGTGCTGCTTCACTGTGGACGCTGCTGGCCGAGTTTGCACCACAAGGGAACTCGCCCCCTGCTGTCCTGTGCACAGCAGTGGTCCCAGCAGCGGCACCAGGAAAAAAAAGGCCCTGTCTTTGTGTCTGCACACAGACTGGTGGCCATGGCCAGCTTTCAGTGACTCACTGTGGCCTGGGGGAGACACACACACACACACACACATACACATGCACACACAAACTCTTCTGTTTCTCCGAGGAGCACCACCACAGCTACACATCAGAAAACAGGCAAAAAGCAAAACTTTGTTCCTGTTTTCCAGAGGAGTTAATAATACATTCTTGTGTTATTCTGGTACCTTATGTGTACTACACAGTAAACAGAGCCAACACAAGAACCCCAGCCCTGTCTGTACACAGCTCTACGTTTTATTCAGGACACATTGCCGGGAATAAAAAGCCCATGGTTACTACTTACACCAATGGTACAGGACAAAAGCAACGAATGACCAAATTGTGAACACCTCGTTTCTAGTTATGTCTACAATCAAGGCAGCCCGAGTGACCTGGTGAATCCCTCAGGCCTGCTCTAGAGAGTACTTTATCAAATTATTTAATTCCTAAACAAAACACAGCTACTGCATCATGCAGTATAAAGGCTGGACACTTTTTACAACTTTACTCTGTTTGTTGTTCCCTACTAGAATTTTTTAGTTTTAAACTGTATTTTTAAAATATGTATAAATTGAGAATATAGTCATTTAAAAAAATCTAACAATACCAAAATCTCCAAAGTAAACCCCAGTACCTGCAGGTCCTGAGCCCTCCTGTAACAATGGTTGAGCGTTCTACACAGATAAGAGTTTTTAGAGCTAGAAAATAATGGAGCTAGTTCCATGCTCCACTCAACACTGGCTTTTTTCTTTTGTCTTTTCCCTTTGATGCTGGGGACTGAACCAGGCAGGGCCGCTATACTAGGCTGTATCCCCAACCCTTATTTTTTGGCGGGGCAGGGTCTTGCTAAATTGCCTGAGCTCTGCTAACACTGTTTCACTCAATACCCCAGGATTCCTTCCACACCACAACCAGGGAAACAGTTCAGTTTCTGACTAAACATCCCACAGAATGGCGATATGCCCTGTGGTCATTTCACTGTTAGGATCAGGAACTCATGAAATTCACGAAATTCAAAGGCTCGCACATCTCCCCACTGACAGCCACGTGTTTCTGGTGCTGGGCACTGTCGCACTGCGGGGAAGACCCCTCACAGCCGGTTCTGTGTGCATGGCAGATGCCCTGCGGAGCCTTTAGGAGTAACTCTGTATTCTGTGCCCACGGGAGCGGAGGATACAAGACTCCCCTTCCGTGCTGGCACTGTGGGCTTGACCCTTGGTTTCCTAGTCATGCTGTGCAGTCTTTCTTGTTACTCTCTGACAGGCAGAAGCCAGCTTCTGCGCTCTCCCATGGGCTTTCCCTGGCAGACACTTGCTAAAGGGAGGCACACCCTCCTGGTGTATTCTGTAGTTTTCCATGCAGCCACACTTCTGCAAGCCAGGAGTCAGACATGGTAACATTTATTACTAGTTTCAATACTGATACTTTTAAGTAAGTAATGATTGCATATTTACATAATCTTAAAATTTGGTTCTATGCCTACATTTGCATGGATTAACAGCACACAGACTGGTGGCCATGGCCAGCCTTCCTTGACTCACTGTGGCCTGGGGGAGACACACACACACACACACACACACACACACACACACACACACACACGCTACATGGCCATATAATTCAGCTCTTTAATTGGACTGCTCCATCCTGCCTGAAGCATAATAAAAGTTAAAATTTTCCGTCTTCTGAGAACAGAAGAAGGAGGCCTTCATGCATGTGAAAGGCAGTTTCAGACACCATAGCATCTTTCTTCTCAAGAACTAGTAACACACACACTCATGCTCACCTGTGGTGAGAGGCAAGGAATGTCCAGTTACTGCAACCACTGCCTGCGCTGGAGGGAAAGGCAGGAGAAAGGCACCCTGCTCTCCCCACAACAGCTCTTAAGAGGTTTACCTCAGCAGAAATTCACCATTCAGCCCACGTCCATCTCGAGTTTTCAGCAACCACTTACTGGTCTGAAGAATCTCTGAAGCTGCCCAGAAAGCACTGACCTTTACAAAAGCGAGCACACAGAGCTCCCAACTCACTCCAGACTCTAGCTTATTTCAGCCTGCTGTCCACAGTCCATTAGCCGGATGAAAAATGGGGCTCCCTGACCTAAGTGACCAGCTCATCAGCACTCCTCACACTGCTGATCATTACCTAGAAAGCCAAAGACCAGCTTTCCCTGGTGGACACTTTCTCACCCATCTAACCACATCATGTCCAACAGTAATTTTTACATCCTTTTTGGCAAAAGAACTACTGATGGGGACATTCTGCAATGTCATGCTACTTCTTCTAGTAAAACTAAAACCAGTAACATTTTCATGTGAAGGTATCCCAGCACCTGGGAGGAACAGGAGAGCCAGCAGCCACCTGAGGCAGCTCCTGGTGCAGCGGGGTTACAGACTCACAGACAGGTGACTGCCACACGGCGCTGTGACCGCTTCGGCAGGGCTGACCCCTAACGCAGACTCACAGTGAAGGCTTCAAGAGCCAGTGAAGCAATGACACATGACATTAGCTGCAGAGCCTCACGCCACACAGCTTTATTGACAATCTCAGGGATTTTGAGTCCCCAGCACAGTGTATCATTCAGGACCCCTGATTAAAAGTGAGCTGGCCTCACCTGCAGTCCCAGTTGGAGAAACGCTGAGGGAGATGACCACTTGAGATCAAGAGTTCAAGAGCACCCTGGGCAACACAGCCAGACCCGCCCTTAAAAAGAAAGCTCAGACTCATTCAAGCGCGTTTCGAGGCAAGGAAACTCCCAGGCCCACTCTGACTTAAAAAGAGCTCCTTACAGAAACTGAGACAGAGCCTAAGTGCCCCTCTCTGCGGGTGTTGCTTCTCAAGCTGCCCTGTCCTTGATGCTCTGTGGAAGTGTCTGCTCCAGCTTTATAGCACCCCGACCTTCCCTATGCCACCAGGCTCAATGGGCACCGTCACCGCAAGACCCCCAGGAACCCACTGGTGCAAAGCACTGGCCTGCAGTTCTGGCCCATGAGGCCACGCTCACCTGTTCCCGGCCACATCCAAGACGTGAAGTTCTGTTGCCTGTGACACCTCGGCAGGTATCCGCGTCAGTCTGTTGTCCCGCACGCAGAACACAGTGAGGCTGCAGCACCCGCCAATCTACAGTGGGACAAAAAGCACCTTTATTCCACCGTGGGGAGGGACACAGGGAAGGCAGAGGATCCCGCTTATCAAACAGCATGAAGAAGATACATGAAGACATACATGGAAGTCCACTTCTCTCCCGCGGACCAGATGCAAGTAACTGATATCATACGAAACGCTACACATACATGTTCTACATTAAATTGAGAAAATAAACAAGACAGTCAAACAGTTCAGTCTCAAAAGGAAGTTATTTCCTACCGCTGGTATCTAATGCAAACGTATCTGTTAAATATATCACCCAAGCTACAGGAGTCTAGACCAGTACTATGCAGGAATATGAAAGTATAATTCCAGTTCCAAAAGTTAGGTCAGAGATGACTCTGATACACACACACACACACACACACACACACACACACAAACACGTGCGTGCATGTGCGCATACACGCACTCACAGCTCAAAGCCTACTTTGTTAATTTCAGGGCACTCAGGGCTCAGTTTAAGGAAGAAAATAAGAACCTGACAGATGACACATTAACTTCTACCACACATCTTTTAACAGCTTTTGGTCACTCAAGCATTCATTCATAAAATACAAAAATTCAGACCGGTGCAGGCTCCTTCACTATACTTCCTCAGTGACTGCAAAGACAGTAACAGATTAGCAAAAGGTAAAATTGGTAGACAGACACATTAATCTGCTCAGGTGGGATCTGCAGGGAAAGCATATAAATCAATAAACTGCATCACATGCTGTTATCTTTCTTAAGGAAACAAGTCAAAGGCAATGAACTTCGTATGAGTTTGGCCTTCAAAATGCAGAGCGAATAAGATCCAGTGATTCTTCAAACAAACAGGTTGTAGGTTCCACAGGCAGCAAAGCTGAGCCAAGGGTGTGGAAAAACAGCCTGATCCTGACCCAGGCTTCCTGGGGACTCTGTGAAGTGTGTATCCTTCTGGGGCTCACTATGGAGCCAACAGCATCGCTGGAGGGGACTCAGGAAGGTCCCTACTGATGCGTCCCTGGGACACAGGAAACACTATTACAGGAGACTTGACTCCTCCCTCCAAGATACCCCAGTACTCCGTCTGTCCTTTTCTACTGATACCTATATTTAATAAGTGCATCAAGTACTCAAAAGAGAATGTGTATTTATAAAACTGCTTCACAGTTACCTTCATGCACAGTCTTTTTACTTCCTCCCTTAAAAATTGATATAAAGATTCTTAAATAATATATGTAACCACAGTATTTATCCATAATGGGTATAAACTAAAAATAAACATAATTTAAAATGTGGGCTAACAGTTGTCACAGCCACATGGGAAGCACTCAGGTACATGGACAGGTTATCAGGCCGTCTTGCTTATTTCTCAGAATTCACATTCTGACATTTCCCATCCGGGTAAAACTGATTCACACCTTGTATTTTTTATCCCACTGTTTCTTACAGAAAATGTCTTTCTTTTGTTTTTTAGTTCTTAGCAATCATTCAGAATTAAGTAAATGTACTTCAATTCCATAAACTCTCTCCAGAACCCTCGAGCCTAGAATATGATAAACTTCTATGTTTTTTTTTTCTTTTGTAATTATGGTCTAACACTCTCTCATGACAAAATGTCCCCTGAAGATCCTTATCGTCCGATTAAGTTATTGTGCAATTTGAACATGTTCACATACAATCAGGGAGCCTGATCTGCATAACCCCATCCCCTCTACCCACCATGGCTAGCCTATATACCTAGCAACTCTTTCTTTTAGGGATGCTTATTTGCTTGTGAACAACTGCTATGTAAAAGCAATCTGCTTCTCTGTGTAGTAAACCACACAGTAAAAGTTTTCTGTGTTCTAATAAAAATGACAACAGCACGTCGTCTTGGGCTTTCTAAATAAAGAACCCAGGCATAGCAGCTGTGAAGGGATGTGCTCCCAGATCTGTCCTGCGGCTCAGGTTCCTCCCTTCTATGGAGGAAGGAAATCACTAGTTTTACTAAGATACCCAAGGACATCATAGGAATCAAAACCTTGATCCTTATGAGAACGGACGCTATCAGATATTCTAAATTCAGAGAGTCTCGACAAAGATTTGCTCAAGGGAAAGGGACACGTGGGTCTTGTGGGGCACCTTTGCCCACCATGCCAGCTGGAAGGGCGGCTGCATGCTGCCTAGGTGCAGCCGGAACCCATATGCCCAGGGGCGGCCATCCAGATCAGCACCAGGTACCTGCCAATCTCGACAGGTCTAAAGAAGAGGCTTTCTCTGCACCCAAAGGAGGGCAGCAGGCCATGTCGACTACTCAGAGGATCATCCTGCAGGACAGGAGATTCCTGGAAGTGTAGGGCGCTGAAGCAGGTGCACATTGTGGCTTACAAGAACTGAAGCCCTCTGCTTGTACTACGTGAAAACGCTCAACTGCATTATGCACGTGTGTCATGTAATAAAAATTATTTCACGAAGCAAAGTGTGTCAAGTGGCTCTAAAAGTTCAGGACAAGCCCACAACACTTAAGTATGCAGGAAGGGTGTAACTTCCAGGGGAGCGTGTGAGCTGTCTACTGTGTTTACAGCTTCATTTCCCTCCTTTCCTGACCCTCCCTAATCTCACACCCAGTAGGATGTCAAGGGGTGGAAAGCAATTGTGTCCACAGCCTCTTGGCCCTTGGAGCAATCAAAGCAGCCAGTGTGCCCTCCTAATCTCTATTGTCCCTGGTGTCTGAAAACAGTGCCAGGAAGAAGAGCACGAGCATGTGGAGGGCGCCTTAGCCACCGTGAAGCCATGCTGTGCCAGGCAAACACTCACAGGAACAGCTCTCTCTTTCCATTCAGCTAGGAAAGAATGGCATGAAACTTTGGTTTCTAGAAAACATATTAAGCAGTTAAAACCCAGACTCTAAATACAGAGTCCATCACAGACGTCAGTGGGGTTCGTGGGGAATGAGAGAGCAAACGCTTTGAGAGCACGCAAACATAGAGTTCAGGCTCAGTCACATGCTCTGTGGTTTGGACATGGCACTTTAACCAAAAGCAATAATGCAAACTACATTAAACAAAACCACATATATACTATCATGCCTATCACGGAACCCAGCCTATTGCTGCTACCAAACAAATGTGGTAGCAACTGTCTCCTAAGAAGTAAAAGCCTGGCTCCAAATGATGAGTCCCACCAACACCAGGTACCTGCTCTGATTCTGGAACCATCTCTTCCTGATCTCTGAGCTGATGTCTTAAGAACCTGTCTCCCAGGCAATGCGTCCCAGAGACATTCAGTCTGAGCCTGAGTGAGGAACTGACGCGAGCTGAGGAGGAGATAAACCTCTCCTGCATTTGTTTTCACTTTGTCTTCTGGGCTCAGTGGGCAGAATTGAAGTTTTCTTGTGGTCATCAGGATAAAATGTCTGTATCACTTATAAATTCTAAGAAGCAGAGCTGTTTAAATAACTTATTACCACTTATGAAGGAAGTTGATATTTTTAAGCTTCCCTTAAACCACATAATAGTACCTTCCCAGAAATCAGGGGCTTGGACTTGGACTGTTTGAGAATTCCAGGACGCAGCAGCTGAGAATTCTTGGAGAGCTGTTCTGTGCCTCTGTTAATTAAGAATGATCTTGTGCTTAACTATCAACACTGAGCCAACCCAGCTCAAGGGGGCAGGATCTGCCGGCCCCTGAGGGAAACTCCACGCGGATCACTCTCACTGTCTGTGCCTACTGCGCTGTGCAGGAAAGAGACAATCAGACAGATGCAGCGGCTCAAAGAGGAAGTCCCCATTAGTCACCTGTGCCTGCTGGGGTTCACACTGTGAATGGCTTCCTCACGGGTACAAGAACTTTCATTTGTTCTCAGTATCTTCTTTTCAATGTTTGTAACAGATCTGAACCCACATCTCACTGGCAAAAAATGAATACTTACAAAAAGCAAAATCTGGCCAAAAATCCAAGCTGGACAGAAATAATATCATGTATAATATTAGAATTCCATCATCATCTGTGGTATATTACCCAAATGTTTCCTACTTCATAAATATTTCAGAAATCGTGTGGTTTTGAGGTTATCTGAATTACTGGGCCACTGACATCAAAATATCCACTAACAGCTGTGGTATGGTATTCTCTTCTCTGATTATTATACGGTAACTTATGCCAGCTGGAAAATAAAAGCCACGTGTACACAGGAAAGCACAGTGGAAGGATAACTCAGTTCCTACCACAAAGAGACGATCAGCATTTACAACCCAAGACAGAAGCTCTAGCAGCATCGCCATGCGTCGGTGAGGGTATGCACACATGTGCACACACATACACACACATACATGTATACACACACACACGCGCACACACACACACACACACACACCAGCAAAGCTGGAGCCAGCACTGACCTTCAGCACACACTGGCAACAACACTGTCTTCCATCTCTCTGATTCCAAAAATGTTCCCATGGAGACACACCCTGTACCCACCAGCACGACCCTGTGACAAGCCGCACGTGTGTGATGCTGCTGGTTCGTCCTGTGGCTGCTCTGCTGTGTGATCTTTGGCAAGGTACTCAGTGCAGAAACCACTGGGTATTGGTAACGGTTTACAAACACTTCAGGGGACTCTCGTGAAAATTAGACAAGAATAAACACACAAGCATGGGATATGGATCAGCTGCCTGGGACACACATGTGGCATAAGCCTGTCCCATGTTCTCTGCCTCTGTCCATGCTTGGCTGGGGCCTGGAGCATGTCAGCTGCTCCCATATGAAATGTGAGAAACAATCTTGTACATGATTATTTTATTTTATTTTATTTTTATTTTTTTGGTACTAGGGATTGAACACATGACCTCACACTTACCAGGAGGCACTTGTGCCGCTGAGCTAAATCCCCAGCTCTGCATGGTTTTTACTGTGTACCTACAAATGTTTTCTTAGGGTAAGTTCTAGAACTGCAAAAGGGTAGATATATTTTTAAAGTTTTGAATAATGTTATCACCCCTTTTCAGAGGAACTCAGGTCAAGCCCAGAACCCCTCATTAGTTGTGTTTATGTACTCCCCTGGATATTTGACAACATGTGATTTTTTTTTTATATTAAAACTTTGAGGGTTAAAATGTTTTTATATTTTATATATAGGCCAGCAATGATGTACACTAATGCACTCTTGTGATCACTTGTTTGTTTTAGCTTTGTTTACTTAAGAGTACATACATCTTTCTGTTACTAATGTGAAAAAATTTCTATTGGAGTTAAGGAAAAATCTCTTTTCTGCCCTCAGACTATCTTTACATTCCTGGAGACCAGAAATCTTTCAGGTAGACAAAGCCGTCAGTTCTTTTTAGTACTTCTTTCCTCTTTTAAGTTTAGGAATGCTTTCTCCATCTTGAAATGTGATGCCCCACTATATTTTATTCTAATGTTACCAGATTGCATATCACCCCTTTTATCAATAACTCACTTTAGAATGAAAACTTACAGAGACACACACTGCTTGCCTGATTAAAAAAAGCTTGAATGACTGCTCTCCCAACTCCGGCTCAATGCACCGGACTAAAGAGGTGTGGGGTACTGGAAACATGGGTATACGTCAGTGTCTTCCCGCCAGAAATTCTTCATAATCCAGGTAGTGTAAAAGGAAGACACAGCTAAGGAAAGGGATGAGTTACTGCCTTTACCTAACCTACCTGTGGCCACACTCATCCCAGCACGCTGTCTTTCCGTCAGTCACACTGTTATCCAGTCCTTCCTCCTACTCTTTCCTGTACCAAGCATCTGAGTCTTTGAGGGGATCTTCCTTTCCCAGAAGCATATACACTGAAGCAACAAGATGAGGAATAAAAGAGGCAAACAAGTGGCCTGAGAAATCAGAAGCATGCCACATGTAGCAAATAAAGCAAACCCAGCATGTCCACTAGAGATAGTTGTGCCAGCAAACCAAAACTGAGTGAAGACAGCGAGGTGCCAAGCGATGCCTTTCAGGATTTCTCAGTAACTTAAAATGTAATTCACAGACGACCATTCTCTGGGGCAAAAATAATCTGAATAAATCTGAAAAACACATGACAACATAAGATTTCAGGCCATGCAGTCATTAAAAATAATTTAGAGTAAATATCCAATATTTTACAATGAAGAACACACAAAGGCGTCAGCCAATTTGAATCTTCATGCATTTAAGAAGCAAAATGAAAGTTACAGATGCAACTGCAGTCTGAACAATACTTACAAGGTAACGGGTTTACCTGACTTTTCTAAATTTCCAAGCAGCTAACAATTAAGAAAACAAGAGACATTCATTGATTTACAAATGTTTACCACAAATAACATCACAAAGCACAAACACAATCTATTGTTGTGATCCACATAATAAAAACATTTTCCCCTAGATTCCTCAGGAAAAGCAAATGCCAATAAAGCTGTTGCAGACTAGCAGCCTGTGCCATAAAACTGACAGAACACAGTACTGTCCAAGTTTAAGGAAAGAGACAAACACAGAGAGCGCCACACCACACAGCAAACCAACAGCAATGAACGCCAATAGGGATTTTGGCACATACATTGAATCAGTCAGAATCTCAGAGTAGATACGCCATGTGCGCAGCTTAACTGTTCAAGGGCAAGGAATACATTTTGGAAAGAAAAGAACACTACACAAAAAAATGCAGGACTTGATCAAATGGTGTCAAGCGTGAAGTCAGAAGCAGCACGTATGTGCACGCATGCACGTGCACGCACGCGCACACACACACACTCACACACACACACACACACACACACACACCCCACAGGGCCCAGGATGCTCCTGCACTTCTCACAGGTCGACACCACCCCGGCCACATGACACGGTGCGAGGCCAGGAGGCACACAGGGCCCACCTGCTGGGGTGCACGTCAGGCTCAAGCCTGGAGCCGCCTCCCCGGGCCAGCTCACAGCTCCGTAGAGCTGTGCTTCCCTCCCTGGGAGCCGCATGTGAGGAAGACTCAAGGTGTGCCAGCAAACACCCGTTCTCAGGCTGCTGAGCAAACATACAGACTACAAGGCTACAGATGCCAGAATACTAATCTCAGCTTCCCAGAAAATGGACACTACATGATAGTTAAATGCTTTAAAACTAGAAATATTCTTACACAATCTTCACTTTTCTCATCATCAAAAGTTGTGGGAATAAATTTAAACCGACATACGACACAGACTGTGTGTAACCCTCCAATCAGAATGACTGTGTTTTGTACATTTAAAATGAAAAGAGGCCCCATGCTGAAATGCTGGTGACACTCTAAACAATCCTCTGAAGTTCTTCTCTAGAATGTGTGCGTAAGAAAGGGAGCTCCAGAGAAGCTGGGTGGTGGGGAAACTTTGAATTTGATGAAAATCAAATTCAAAAGCACTCTCCTTAGCATCTGCCTCGCAAATATTCCTAAACATCTTAATTTTCGGAAACATCCAAACCTAAGATAACGGCCTTCCCTGATTAAATCGAGTTCTTCCTGGTCTGGAGGTCACACAGCCGGAAGGCTGGGCTCAGTCTGAGTGACCTGAGCTGCCTGTTTTTACCACCAACCCCAGGGCTCACTGCTAGGGCCTGGTTCTACCAACTCTCTACATGCGCCCAAAAAAACTCCCTGGCCTGTGAAATGAGGAGACCATCATGACCTCAAAAGCTCAGGATCCAGTGAATTAACATACTTAGTCTTTCTATGCTGTGTGTGCCACGCACTCGGTCACTCCCTGTCTACAGCTGCTGCTCGACAAGAGCAAAATTAATGCTCACGGGATCAGCTATGCTTGGCTTGTTGCTCAGAGACTGGAACCGAAAGGTTGAGACTGGCAGAATCTTCTTGTGCCCCAATTTAGCAGAGACAGTCTGCTGGAGCCAGTTTTATTCAGACGCCAGCGCTCATATCAAAGATGTACCAGCGTACACGTGCCCCTTCCATTCAGGAATGCTGGCCATCTCACCCAGGACAAGTCTGGGTGCCGTGGGCAGAATGCCAAGACAAGAAAAGGAGAGAGGAACCCAGGTCAAGTACAGGGGCCCTGAGAAAAGAACGACCCTCAAATTCTAACTGGTTGGATGGGAGCTTTGAAATTATTCCAGGACAGATGCTGGAAAGGGTCTAAAAGAGAAAGGAAAAAACCCGCGACTGGCCAGGGATCACGTCATGCAAAAAAAAAAAGCACTTTTTATCTGCGGACTGGCAGAGGGGAGTCTCACCAGGAGCTCGCCTGATGGGGAGAGCCTGTGGCTTACTCTTAGTTCTAGGCTGTACAGCTAGGAAGGTATGGAGCTCTCCTAGTCCCCAGTGCAAAGTCAACCTTCAGGAGGCAGCAGACATCCGGCTTGATCTCCTCCACATCCTCAGCACTCCGCCCCCTGGACAGGAGGTAGACCACCTCAGGTCCCCACAGCTACTCTCCAAAGAGGACAGTGGCTGCCCCCTGCCCCTCTTGGACACGACAAGGCAGCCTCTGTAAAGAGTTCATTCACTCTCACCCAAGACAGAAACCCTCCCAGAGTAAATCGTGGCTCAGAAACAAGCATCCATTCTTACGATCCCATCGGCTTAGAGGACAGAGTTTAATTTCACCTTAAATTTGACAGTCAAATCTAAAGTCATCCACTATCTCTACCAAACTTCCAAATTACCCATTTCTGTCAATAGTGTCATCATCCTCTGTACGGCAAGCCCGTCTCCTTCTCCACTTAAAAATTCTTTAATTCCCATTTCCCAGCTCTTAATGTACTCACGAGCATTCTCCGACATAGTTTCTCTACCTAGCTTTATACTCACACCTTCGAAACGTAAGCCTTTTAAACATTAAAAACATCTCTGACATTGGGGATCCAATGCCATTAATTCTTTGTGATTTCTCTAAAAAACACATACCTCTTTTGGTAAAGACACTAATTTGTTTCTGTCTGCATTCAAGTTGCTCAACTTCTTAAGTTTTCCAACGCTCTTAGGTAACGTCTGTTAAAATAACATTTATATTATTAATTTATCACATATTTTAATAAGGCTCCAGGCAAAAGAGATGTTTTCAAAGACTTAAAGAAAATGCAGCAAAAGAAGCAAAGTCTTTCCTGAACGAATGACACACTTTGAATTCTTCTTGATAAAGAGTCTGCACTTGAAAGATGTGGGGTTAGAGGCACAGCCTAGGAACCTACTTTACTGCCCAGCCCTGACTTCACCAGCACCCTGGACAGGGGCCTCAGGGACTGAAGAAGCAGGGGATCAGCACCTCGCTGGTGTCGCCAGACGGGGCAAAGAGGGGCTGCGGGGTGGGCACAGGGAAGGGGAGCTGGCCTGCTGTGGGGGACACAGCCCGCAAAGTGCAGGCAGTCTGTGCGGGTCTCTTGTGCTGCAGTGCCCTGGGTGGGGCAAGCATTACCCTTCGGACTCCTACTCCTGGCCCCACCTGCCAGCGCCCTGCCCTGCCCTGCCCTGCCTGCCCTGCCCTGCCCTGCCCTGCCCTGCCCTGCCCCACAGGATGGCTATTTGAGCAGCCACCTCATCTGAGCACCCAGTTCTCTCCTGCTGTCATTATTTGCTCTTTTCAGTAGATGAGCATTATTTTCCTTGCTTACGGAGATAAAGGAAAAGGGTAGCCCGGCAGAAGGAGCAAAGGCAGGGTAAAAAGCATAGTCACAAAATGAAGAGGAGGAAAGAGAAGAGAAAATCAGGAAAAAGTAGGGGAGTGCTTGCCTAGGAAAGCACCCGATAAAAAGTAGCTACAGGACACCCACAAGAGGGAAAGGAGAAGACAAAGTGACCACAGGGGCACAGAAGCAGCAAGGGAGCCAGCAGCCAAGAAGACAGACCGGATCTGCAGCCACCCCGTCCAGCGTGGAGGGGCAGCAGGCGGGACAGGGCCTCATGGGCCTCCTGCGCAGCCCCGCACCCCAGCCCCAGTCCCCTCATCATCCTTCTCCCGCTCTTCTCCTGTGCCCACAGGACTGAGGGGGAGAGCAAAGGGACCACACTTCTGGGGGTGGCCTGGGGGACACCTGGCAGAGCCAGGAGCACGACCAGGAAATGCGGCTTCTACCCACACCACACCTCCGGGGCCCCAGGAGGGGTCTGCTGAGTCCCTGTATTGTAAGGAGCATGCCAAGGACGACTGGCTTGATGTGCTTCAACTGGTCTCTGTGTCCACTCACAGAGGGGAGAATCTAGGGCCAGGGGGTCCTCCCCGTGGTGGGCAAAACCACACTCACCAAGAGCCGATTCTCGGTGAGAACCAGCTCTGTGAGGCTCTCGCATTCCCCAACAGCCTCGGGCAGCTGCGTGAGTCTGTTCTGATCCACCTTCAGGATGGACAGCTTCTTCAGCTTTCCTGCAGCGGCACAGGTTAGGCTCATTAGTTACAACTGTCTTCCTAGTCCCCACTTGGTACTTCCTATCAGCTTTTCTGCTCTGAACTGTAGCTTCTTTTCCTTCCCCTGGCTTTTCCAACTAAGAGTCGCACCACTTTCATTCAGAGTACACAAAATTGAGGATTAAAACAATTTGTTCAGAACATCAAAAAGTCAGCAATTAGAAACAAATCATTTTAAGCAACGCTATCTGAAAATATCCTATCCAAGCCAGAAAGTGTCAAGAACAATAGCTGGCCCTCCACGCCTCTCACGGGCAGGAGCTGCTGATGCGTGCTCAAGGCTGGAGCGGTGAAGTTCCAGCGGGCCTTGGTACGGTTCTGCCATCCATGCCTGCTAAAACGCCAGGCGCACCCTACACACCACCTCTGGTGACAGTGACCCTGTACGGGTTCCTCCAGGAGAACACGCAGAACAGTGCAGATGGTCTGAGAAGCCTTAGAACGTACAAGTCTGCTTCCCCGGGGTAGGAAGACTTGACTTCCAGCTCATGTTCACGGGCCACACAAGGGATGAGTCCGACCGCAGCCTCCCCAGCTGGGAGGAGGGAAACCAAACTCACTCACGGGGATTCCCAGTCTCGGTCAGGGAATGAGTGTCTGGGCAGAGGTTCCTGACCACTGACTGCGAACTGCTGGCAGGACACTTCGCCCCGTCAGAACATAGGCCATACACAAGGAGATGCAAGCTGGACAATGGGAAACATGACAGGAGCATCTCTCTGGACCTGTAGCACCAGGCAAGGTAAGAGAACTCATGGATTCTTTCACTCTTTACTTAGCAGCATCCAATCTACTGGAACAGTGCCCGGAAGGATTCTACCCACCATCACTAACAGGAGACAGAAGTCTGGGAGTACCTCGGGCCCTCAGAGGTGGTTCCTCATCAAGCTGCCCTGCAGCTCCCACCGAGCACTCCCTTTAGTGAGGGAGCACTCACGGCTGCAGGAAGCAGCCCACAGAAACCTGTCACCAGTATCCTTGTTTCTAAATCTCTTTCTTAAGTGAGGATGAAATACACAATCTTTGCATTTTCCTAGAAGATGTAACTAGAAGATGTAATAAATCCGCAGAAAAATATGTGAAGCCAGCCAGCTCATCCTCCCTCCAGGCATCAAACATGCAGCTTCTACAGCTGCTGTCAGAGGCCACACAGGATTCTTATGAACATCTCTAACCAGAGGCAAAATCCCTGTCTACGTTCCAGCCAGCTTTGATGAAACCCAAGAGGATACCTGCATTCCTACTGTCCTGTGATTAGAAATCACCATTTTCATTCTCACTTGACACCAGATAGGAAGCTGTCCCAGGCCACACAGCTTCTCCAGCTACCGCAAATCTCCCACTAACTTCTTTGATGTATTGAGTAAAAGTTAAAGGCATAATCATATGACAACTCGATGGTTAAATACAGTTTCTCGTAAGTTCTAAAAGGTTGCGGTCCAGTGAAATGATCTCTTCCTATCTTGTTTATGTTCAATTTCACACACTGGACTGAGATCCTTTGTAGAAAAAGAAACATGTGGGCTGATTCCTTTTAAAGAAAACTGCATGGAATGGTTAAGACAACCTTCACTGTTCTACAAAAGACCTCAATGATGCCATTCTTCGGTTAGCAGTACCTTCCCAAGGTCACACAAGGTCATAAATGATTTTTTCACAAACTATCTAGGATGCTGAACTAAGAATATCCTAGTGATCATTCATATGCTTCAGATACTTCATTATTTGGGCCAGTCCTTCTTGAAGTATTTGAGACAAGGTGTGAATGAAGTAGACAGACGTGGCAACACTTAAAAAGTAACTACACTTGCAATTGCTAACAAATCAGGATGTTGAAACCACTTGTACAAAGAGAAACCTGAACTGTACGAAATACTCTTTGCTGTCTCCATCTAGGTAATTTAGTGAGACTGTTGTCTCAAGATAAAACAAGAAGGGATGGGATTAGCTCAGGGTGAAGCCAGGGCGGGGAAACAACCAACCAAGAACAACAATGGGGAGACTTTCAGCAGCCATGTCCCTAAGCCCTAAGAACAATGACCAAAAGGTCAGCAAGAGCTCAAGGGCTGGACATAACTGCAGGCAGCCTGGCAGAAATTTGTTCCTTCCAGTACTCACCGATGCCATCCGGAATTGTTTCCAGCAAGTTCTGGGAAATTACTAAATCTGTTAATGAAGTCAGGCCACTGATTTCTTCAGGAAGTCTCTCCAACTTGTTTTCAGAGACATCTAAGCACAGCAGGTTCTTCAGATTTCCTATTTCCTACATCAAGAGAACAGAAAGAGAAATTTAGGCTTACACGGGTCACAGTACAGAAGAACTTGGAACCACAGGTTTTCACAACTAAACGCCAGAGTCAGAACAATGCATCTTTAACATATGCCCAGATGTGAAGGCGGGGTGAACTCCTGGACCCCTTCCAATGAAAACGAGATGCGGTATGATTGTAGACTCAGAGGCTGGGGGACAGAGCCACCTCACACAGGTAAGGGACCACTCTCTGATGACACACGAGCTGACCAGTACCAAGACAGAACAAATGAGTACAGAGCCACACACTTAGAGAAACATTAATAAAGGAGACTGGAGTCCAATTCCCCACTCGGAATCATCACTAGTTAGCAGCTTATAGCCCAAGGTGGCCTGGGATTTTCTAGGATTAGAAACTCTCCACTTGTTAACATAAACACAAAGCAACCGCTCCCCAGCAAAACAGAACATACAGAAACCACCAATGTCTTTAACGTCACAAGAAGAGAAGCCCTTCTCGTGATGGGGAAAGCTCTTCAGCAAGTCTGTATTCTCTCTGAGATTCACCTGCCTCCCAACCCTAGCCGCTACCTTCTCTCTCCTTACCTCCTCATATCAAGTCTGGCTCCCACTGCCCTCTGCCCTTGACTGTCCGCTCTGCCTCTTAGAGGCTGGTTCTGGCTATTCTATGAGCAGTGCTTCTCCTCTGCCTTCCTGGGAATGCAGCCGGTCTGCTCATGGAGTCACTACACCTCTCTCCCGAGCAACGTCAGCACTCACAGGGGCTAAGGAAGTACCAGTTTCTCAACTGATGTTTCCCTGGTCCGAGTCATTCTTTCTAGATTTTAAGTCTAATTATATGCTCCATCACCCTGCTCCTATGTCCCCTCTCTACAGAAAACCAGACTATATTTCTACTAATTTCAGGCCACTTTTCATCAATTCCTTTTAACGTTATGTTTGTATTCTTTTCTTCCCATTGCCCATGAGACTCTAAGGTATCTTTAGTCCTGGTTTAATGTAAGTCCTATACTATGGGGGAAATTAGATTTTAAGTAACTGTTTATAACACGGAAACCACTGAAGCATTCATTTCTATGCTGAGGACTTCACAATGCACAGTTGCTCGCATGCATCCGCACATAGGCAGCCTGTGCTCCTTGCAATGTCTTGCAGCTGATGCTTTACCAGTCTCCTGATAACTCAAGGCACCCACCCCATCCTCTGACTCTGAAGGAACCAGGCTTTCTCATAGATTTCCTATAGAAACATGAACAGCTGCTGGTTTAGTGCCCTTCCCCAATGGCACTCAAGATCACAGAAACACACTAAGTCTCCTAGTCCCATCAGTCATGGGTGACAACACATCCACTTCCACACTGTTAATCACATGAAATGTCTGAATTCTAACCTAGTGCTTCCATATACTCAAGCTGTATTTCCTTTCCAAAGCACATGGCCCCTTCCAACTGGAGCCCTGGCCAGGCAGAGCAGCACTCGAGCTACTTAAGATGCAAGCACCCACATCATGAAATGTGCGTTCTCACTGTGCAAAACTGGGTGCAACACACACCAGTGAATAAAATTCAGTAACAGCTGGAGAACAGAAATGTCCAGTGTGTTTCAGGAGGACATGTTTGGATTTTTCAGCAGCTCACTCAGAAAGTGCCTGCTTGCTGGACCCCACTCAAGAGCTGGCTGAGAGCTCAGGAGTCCGTCCCAGGCACCACAGTGTCTGTGACATGGCTCTCAGACTTAGCAACGGTAGGAAAAATAGGAACACCATGACCTACCAACTATATTTGGAAAAAATATGAAGTAAAAGCTTTAATATTGCTTTTACAACAAATACTAGAGTGCAAACCACAGCCAAAATTATCCCAAAGCATTTAACACATCACAAAAAGTAACAGAAATGTACACTGCCTCCATCACAGGTCCTAATTTGAGGGTAATTTATAAATCTGCTAAGTTATTTGGGTAGCAATAAAGTATAGACCTCACAAACTAAAAGACACATTTACTATCTTTAGAAATGGTGGACTGAGGTTTTCAATTTCCTTGCAGACATGCAGAATGAAGAAAACTCGATATATTTTTCCAAATGTGCTTTTTCAATTAATATTTTGGCTTCTGACACCCTTCTTTTTAAAACCCCATGCAGAAGCAGAGAGCACACAAGGTTTATTGTTCTGTTTTGGGAGAGCGGCTGTAAAGTTTGCACTTACCTGAGGTAATTCTGACAGCTGATTTCCGTCCAACCAGAGATCTTTCAGATGTAAGAGAGCTCCAATTGATTCTGGCTGAAATAAAGACGCAAAAGTAGCACTGTGGTAACAAAGATCCAATTGGGTACCGTAATGGGTGCCTGTCAGATCTCCAAGGTCAAGACCCACCTCCTTTTCCTAAAAGTGCCCCCAACTTTCCCCAAGAATGCCAGCGGCTTCCACTTCCACTCAGATCTCCAGTCCTCACCCTCCACACCCAGATTGTAATTCTTAACATTCAGGAACAGAAGCCCATTCTCCAGGCTTCCCAAGCTGTATCTTTGGAAATACTGTCTTTGTAAGCAAACCCGAGAACTCCCAAAACACACTGGGATCAGAACTAAGGACAAAAATAAATTCAAATCTCTCTTTAATACAGACTTACCAAATTATATATCTCATTGTTTCCTAAATCAAGTTCTTCTAGTCTCCGGAGTTGGGTAAGAGAGCTATTTAAAAACAAAACAAATGCTTAGAGAAGACTTAGACATGCTGAGCAATGCAGTATTCCTCACCGGCTAGTTTTCAAAAGAAGGATTCGTCTGTATCTATGGCAATAACTACTGCAAGCGAAGGACTATTATGGGAAGGCTGGCACCTCCCTGATTGTCCAGAGAGCACAGATTCTTCTGCTGACGTTTAAAAAAACTCTTAAAAGACTCACTCAGGAAGATACGTAAGAAGGTTCTCTCTCAGTTCCAGTGAAGCCAGGTTATAAAGACTAGAAACAAACAGAAGAAAAAAAAAATAAGGAAAACTCCTGAGATCCTGCCTACTCCCCCTTACCGCACGCACTCTCAAAAGCAGCCACTCTTTACACAAGCTGGAGTGTGACCTCCAAGGCAGAGCTGCCCACCGCCACCATCACCCTCCCTCGTCACACCAGCTTAATGTCCACCTCCCAAATTTTAGTGTTAAGATATTAATAAAAGCAGCAAAAGTTTAGAGTGTCAAGAGTACACAATGCCCCCTCAAGCACCCTGCACATTTTCTCAGTGAAGATAACTCACTGGCCATTAAAAGACAACCACTCTCTAGTGCAGAACAGATGCTGAATCCGAACATCTCATGTTAGAACGTTGGCAATGTGTTGTTACAAATAAAACAGTTCTGTCTTTCACCTTTAAAGTCCCGAGCACTTGTTCCCAGCATCAGTGAGACATCAGCCCTGTTTGAAAGCAGGGGGCATCTCAGCCAGGGGCCCAAGGGCTCTGCATAAGGCCGGAGCTCTTCAGGGCAGGCAACAGTGCCAAAGAAAAGCTAAATGCCTCTGGGACTCTGCACCCATCCACCGCGCATTGAGCCTGGGAGCTGGGCTCGGTGAGCAGCAGCCTGATGATGCGGCTTTGAGTCTTCCTACATTCTGGAATGGTGCTGTGTGCCGCAGAGACCCTGCTTCCCTGGTGTAGCCCAGTCTATTCCATGAAACGAGACGATGCTCTCCCCAGACATGAGCAGCATCAAATCTTGACAGGCACCGCTGTGTCACCAGAGAAACCTTTGCACACCCGAGTTACATCCGCACTGCACAGTGTATGATTCCTCCGTCACCTGCACAGCCACCTGAGCTTCACACCAACCCAAACTCGCGTCCGCTAATGTTACCATAGCAACATCCAGATCGGAGGAATTTTGTTTCTGAGCACATAGGAGTCAGATATTACCCCAACACTTTAATCTGCCTTAATCTTCCATTCGCCCTCCTTTCAGCAAAAAGAGTCATGTGTACCAACAAAGCTGGTTTTATAACACTGGAAAATGTACATTTAAGTGAATAGTCCACACACAGGCTTAAACGTCTTTCCAAAAAACATATTTTAAATGTATTATGGCATATACAAACTCTGCATCTCCTCTAACGTTGGAAAACTGAATAGTTTTCACCATTAAGGCCCAAGAAAACAAAACTATCTGTCTGTCTCTCTATCTATCTTCTGTAAATTCCTGCTGATAAGCGTTATGAATTTAACACCAACACTTTTCAAATCACATGGCAGTTGTCGGCTAGGCACAGTGACAAGCAGATCTGGAAGAAACAAGAAGGGCAGGAGACAGAGAAGGGCATAGGGCCAGGCCCAAGAGCAGCCTGTGAGGGTGGTGATGCCTAAGGCTTGGAGAGTGAGATGGAGCAGCTTGGAACAAGGGGCTCTGCCTGTGGCTCTAAGCACTCCAGGGGCCCCTGTGAGTTTTATACAGTGATAAAACAGTGGATATTTTCACGTTTGGATTTTTTTAAATGATGGTAGGAGTATCATGTTTTATCTGTTCAACTTTCATGAATTTACTCCTATTCTAACAAACTGAAGACATCGGCTGATAAAAGGAGGTTCAAAAATTGTACTTGTGGGGCAGCCCACGAGCTCCTGAAAAGTATCTTGCACAACCTGGCAGCTGTGTTGCACCAAATCTCTGAGGCCCCCCCGGTCTGATCATCTCCCACCTGAGACCCAGGAGGGCACACGCTCTGCTCCAGGGACACCTCCTACAGCTGACCAGTGACAACAGCACTCAGGTGACAGAGTGAGGAGCGCAAGGCCCCCAGTGGGGACAGGGAAGCCACTAAATCTGGCTGTACCTCGACTCCTCCACCTGGGCTGGGGAGTTCCTCTGCCCTGGAACTCTTAAATTCAATCTTAAAAGCATCTTTGAATGCGTAATGTCTGACCTTAACTACACCAAAGGACATCGGGATTCTTATCATCTTATGTTATCTAAGAAATATGATGCACATTTAAAAACTTTTTAAACTTCATCTTCAAGGTAAAAGGTCCAGACATAGATACTATAAGAAATCTTTTTATGTTAGTATATGAGCAAAAATTTCACTAAAATGCCAACAGGTTTGTGGCATATCTCCACTCTTATCAAGCTAACACCCAAGAACAATACTCTCTTAATAAGTAACAAGGTTCCAGTTACAAAACCTTAGTTTATTGGTTTGGGGGAGCAGGGGATATACATAGAAATGGAGGAGTGCACACTGAATTTAAAAAGTCCTTTACTTTATTGTATTTATTTACAATTTTAGACATTACCTTACTATGCTGCCAAGGCTGGCCTTGAAGCCTTAGATCCAAGCAATCCTCCTACCTCAGCCTCCCAAAATTTTAAACTACTTAAAGAAAGGGGGACATCCCGGTCACCCTGCATGCAGGGCTGGTCCCTGACGTGTAGTTACCCACTAGAGCTCCTAGGGCCCAATCTTGTCCTTCGGGTCAGAACAACCCGTTTTAATCTCCCTTGCTCCTCCCTAACTAGTGGGGCCCTTGCGATTCCACAGAGAGAGTATCACTGACCAGCAGCCTGGAGCTCTCTTCAGAGCTGCGCCGGACACAGGTGCACGGCTGGCCCTGCCCACCTGTGAGGCTCGCCATGCATCTGTATACTTGGGGAGCTGTAAGATGAGAAGAACTAGTACGCAAACAAACAGCTTCGCTCGCAGACTGCCACCTGCTCCAGGCACCTCGGCACACCATCTGGACAGCACAGGCCAATTCTGGAGTGAATCCATGGCAGTGGCTCTCCTCGGAGGCCTAGACTGGCATCGAAACCCCCACTGCCCACTCAGGAGCGTGCTTCTCCAGACTGTCACAGCTGACAAGACAAGGGTCTGTGCACATGTGCAGCATACAGGGACAGTAGCACAAGAATGAATGACGTTTTCTTGGTCTTTGAGAATACAGTATCCTTCATCAAAATTTCAGGGCCGTGTCTATCCGATTCACTCCATCAAGGTAACCAATTCAGGCCAACATCTGTGCCCTTACAGAACCTAATGAAGAATGGGCAGTGAGCCATGTCAGGTGGGGAATTGTAGCCCCCACTTCTGGGCACCTCGGAGCCCAAGCTCTTTATATCACTAGGCCTGAGATAACCACGACAAGCACCGAATACCACATGCATTATCTACTCTGCCAGTTAACACTCACAAAGGGGGAAAAAAGAAATCAGACACTCAAGATGTGACGTGAGACTCACTAGTTCTCAACGGCCCTACCTCTAGTAACGATAATATCAACTTACTGCATGACGGATAGTGCTAGAACCACTTCCTAAGCATTAACCTAAGGATGAGAAAAGCACTTGGAGAGAACTAGGACAAGGTCTCACACCAGTAAGTGGGGGAGTCGCCAGTCACTGGGGAATCTGTGCTTTTAACCACAGTGCCCTGCTTCTTCTCTGAGCTGGGAAGTCAACTTCGTGACCTGGTCATGCATACACACATAGCTACGTCCGCCTCTACGCACGCAGTATCAGTAAAAACTTTCCTTCTGCTTGTACCCACCACCGAGACTATTCTCAAAGGGAATCACTTGTTAAAAAATTTCTCTTAGTTTATTGGGAAAAAAAAAGTCTGTGCTAATATTGTGTGGAGAGTTTTTTATGTCCATATTTTGAACTCTCAGTAACTACCTTGAAGATAACAATATGCAATGTTTTAAACTAGTGTTATTCTCCTATTATTTTATCATGAAATTTTATTTTTTCCACAAAATAAACACTTTTCTTATGTATTCATCTAGAATTTCTTTTATGCAAACAGGTATTAAATATATCAGTTTCTCACCAGAAATGTGGCATCATACATATATACACATATATACCTATATGTATACACACACATACCTGTCAACTTGCTTTCCTCAGATTTGTTTCATTTCTTATCTGGTATATGCCAGTTTGTTTTTTATAGCTTTACAGTATCTCACTATCTATTGACATTTTAATTTTTAACCAGTCTCTATTAACAGAACGCTCACCCTTAATTTCAGTGTCTGACAAACGCAGTACTGCCACAGTGACCTATGCAAAGAACGAACAGCCCGGCTGCCCACCCTGCCTGCGGCTCCCGGCACCTCTGCCAGGGCAGGGCTCACCTAGAAAACCCATTTGGGAAGAAGGGAATTTCAGCACCTCCCACATTTCAAAGGGCGTTAAAACGTCAGGGGTGAAAGTTACCCTCTTCTGCAACCAGAATGGAGCCAACTGTATTTTCAGGTTTCTATTTCAGGGACTGGGTCAATGGTTACTTTAAGGAATTTACATCTGTTCTTTACCATGTGTTAAAGCTTCTTTTAAAACCTCTTGGATCTTCCCCTCCTGCCCATTTTGGTGACTAAATCATTAAGAAAACGCAGGGTAAGTTAAGACAGATCAAGCAAATAGCAGTTTACACCAAGACCACTAAAATACAAAATCTGCAAACATTTATGGCAACAGCAGTTGGTCAGGGAAAAGAATCTTTGTTGCTGGGGAAAGGAGAGTTGCTTATGCAGTCAGGACATTTCTCTTGTCCTCTCAACACCGAATCAGTTTTGAAGAAATCTCTGGTCACAGATTTCCTTACAGTAGCTTTGCTCTAGAAAACATTTTTGGAATCTTGTGTTTTTGTTTCTGAAACAATAAACATGTTATAGTAATTCCCAGGCCTCACAGAACAAGCATCAGATATAGTAATAGTTTCAGAAATACTTTCTCCTCTTGGCATTCCAACACATCACAAGCCACTAGCCTCGCACTAGGCCTGGGGCTCACTGGGTTCAAGCCCACTCAAATTAAGGCTCTGCTCCCAAGGGCAACCGGCAGGAAATCAGATCCACATGTTCTGCACCACCTGCCACGGAACCTGCAGAGGCCTGGCCTCCTCTACTGCTCCCAGCACTCTCTCACGCTGAACCCAGCGTCCCACAAGGAAGAGAAGCAGCCGCAGGTGCCGCTCAG